AGCGTGCTAGCTGTACCACACAGCTTGAGATGGAACATGTCTGCCCTCCTGCCACTTTCTCAGTTGGCATAAAAGCAGAGAAACTTTGGAGTAAGTCATGCTGAAGACTGATGTGCCTATGTATCACAAAAGCTAGCTATGACACACAAAGCTCTTTCAGATGCTTGCTTACCACAACAGGAAGCTTGACAAAGCAAAAAAAAAAAAAAAAAAGTTCCTTTACCCTTGTTGTTTCTTTTTTACAACAGGAAAACCAACTATCCTACCCTAGCTGCAGACTCAGAGCCCATGAAGGAAACTCTTCATAGCAGTGTGCAGTTAGACATCCCAGCTGAAGGTTCATTCCTCCTTTTAGCTCACAGCAAGATAGGGCATGAACCACAGGTCAGAGCACAGGCATCTTTTTGTGGAAGTAATTCAAAATGCATGAGACAACCACTTCCTATCACTGTTTAGATCCCCCAGCTGCTAATGCTTTTGAGTACACCTTGCACTTCGTTTCCACAGCCCAGCTGTACATGAGATGTGCAAAGCTTCTAACTTCATTTTAAGCTTGTAATGAAAATGAACTGCATTTACCAAGCACCATCACAGTGCAAATGAGTTCTGCTTTCTGTGCCAAACAATCATTACATCTCAGCAGATCTACTGATGCAATGATATGGTTCAGAAAGCAAAAGATAGTCTCTCTTCAGTATTATCTTTAAACTAAGGGTAATTAAGCCACTGAAAGAATTATAATGCTCACAGCAAGAAATATGAAATCTACAAAAAATTTCAGAGTTTGGATTTAAGTACTGTTCACAGGCCAGCAAATTAGGACTAACTGACCTCAAGGTACTCACACTCAGGCAATCCTTCATCTCAACCAGTCAACACCTCTTATGGGTGCTAAACTGTGGTCAACATCTAAGCTGATAACTTTTAGTCTTCATGCCTACTAAAGCCAACAAACCATTCAAATGAAAGCTTCAGCTCCCAATTTACTTTTTTTTTCCCCAAAAACTGTGCAGCCATCCCTCCATTTCTTTACATGCAGTTAAAATACAATACTAGAAAAGAACAAACAGTCCAACAATTGGTTAGTACCTAGCACTACTATTAGCTGAATTATGCTGAAACTGACAACAAAATTCATTAAATACCAAGTTTACTCCTGGCCAATTAAACTGCCTGCAACACAACAATGCACTCTTTAAAAACAAACTAAGTGGGTAGTTCCAGTCCACAGAAACAAATTTCCACAAAAACAAAGAAGAAAAAAATGTTACTGTAACGACGCCATTTCTTACAAACATACTACAGTCCATTTTCTCCATGTGTTTGTTACGAAGTGGTGTGTGAGTTTCTAGGTTGGTAATTTATACATAAAATAGCCTAGAAAGTCCAAAGAATCAAGTATCAACTGTAGCAAAGAGACAACACTCCAATAAGCCTCAGCTGGAAGACAAAAACAAAATGGCAAATAAAATTTATTTCCCTTACATTATCCTATTACATAACCATTGGATCTTACAGCCATTTCAATGTCATTCATCCAACTACTAAAAGAACCCACATCACATGATGTATGTAATCATAACAGTTTAATTCTCCTTTGGCTTAAACTAAAGGATTTCAGATAAACATTGCAAAACAGTTTCTTGAAATTTAGACAAGCATCCTGTTGTGTCTTTGACAGACTGACAGAACTGCAAAAAAAAAGGAAATCTGGTCAAGTTCAATCCCAACTTTGTTCCTCTGTTTAACAGTTGCTTCTTTATCAAGAAAGCAGTTAACAGCTTTCACACTAAGGTTCACACAGATGAATAGGAAAGCAGGAGAGAGCTTCATGGGTCTGCACTTCCCATCCCTTCTTGAAGTGTCTTGCCATATAAAATATTAAAAACAAACAAAAACCAAAACAAGACATGCAAAACCCACGGCTTACAAATCAAGTTTAAAAGACAAATGCATCCTTAATTTGCAAATAATTATTAAAGCTACCCTAAGTGTCTTCCTGATATGAAATTGTACTTTCACTTACTGAGATGCAAGAGGTACATATAAGCGTTTCCAATATGAAATCAAGCTAATTAGTCTAAAAAAGCAACTTCTCTTTAAACACATGTGGCATTTATGTTAAAAGATAGATTTATGAGACTAGACAGTCCACTATTTGAACAGTGAGATCTCACATCACCCTTGTGACAACACTAGCAGCAAAAGTAATATCACTGTACAACTGGGATCATAAGAAAGCATGACTTCAAGCTCATTTTGCCTGAAAGGGGCTTCAATCTCCTAAGCAAGTTACACAAAATGCCTCATTCCAGGAGTTAAAAATCAATAGGTCCCAACATCATGTAGAAAAAGACAGACCCTAAATAAAGTCCATAAGTTCCACTGTCTTGTTGGTTTTGGTTTGTTGTTTGGCTTTTGTGGGTTTTTGGTGGTGGTGGTTTAAAATTATGAACAAGTAGGTAAAAGGAACTGCATTGGCAATTTATTATGAAGAAGTTTCAGCCCTCTGCAATGGATGGAGCTATATTTCATAATAAATTCCATTCCTGACACAAATGAGAAAAAAAGCCGCAGGGTAAGTCAGAATACAAAAATTTAAAAGGTAAAGAACTATGAAATTCACTTAGCAGGGCAGAATAACATAGAAAGATTTTTTGCTTAGATATATTTCATAACTTCAGCAGAGTCATCAATTCTCTCTCCACTACCTTCCCAGCCAGCTGAGGAAGTGCACCTTTCTCTTCCTCACACCATTTTGGCTTCTCTGCAACCATTTTTCAACCACCAAATTCTCATATAAAGTACCTCTGGTGACCATTCTCCAAGTGAAAATTGAGAGAGTTTAGAAAATATTTCTAGCCATACCAAGACAATGATACCAGAAAGCATTTCACTCTGGGCTATGGTTACCAGGATGAACTCCACGATGCCATTACAGTGAAGTAGTTTAAGCAGTCTGAGGCTCTGAGGAACTGTTACATAATTAAACTAAAAGCTTTTGACTGTACATGTCTGAGCACACATTTTTCATCACTTGACATTTTTTGGTCCATCCAAACACCTCAAGGGAACACCGATTGTTATAAGCCTGACGCTTGTACATTCTGAAACTGCCAAATTCAGATCTTAGACCAACAATAAAATACACCACCAATAAACCTGGAACATCAGCCTAACATTTCATTTTATACCTTGTGAATATCCAAATTTCCAACAACCTAAAAAAAAATAAAAATCGATAGAAAGGTTAAGATTGAACAAGTAAAGGAGCAAGACATGAGGAAAACTGGTTGCAACAAAGATGCATTTTTCTGTCCAGGAACAGAAGTTTCAATATGCATAAACTCTTTAAAGAAATCAGTAAATGTATTTAACAATTGATTTCACAGACAAGACAAAAACATTTTTATTGAGCAATTTTTTTTCATGCTGGCATATAAAGTCTTAGATGAAACCAAAGAACAATGGAGTGAAAGTAACAAGTTTTATGATTAACCTTCTGGAACTTCAGCCATCAGTGTGATTGTATTTAACACCTTCTGTAAAACACTGCTCAACCCCTTTTTTCTTCACTGTATTTTTGACAAGTTAATCAATGCCCTCATAGATGACTGATATACTGAATGAAATAATCTTACATAGCTATCATGGACACATGCTGTGTATGCCATCAATTTACTTGTAAACGTCAGAATTTTCTGTTCACCACTTTAGGCTTCAAAACACCAACAACTCAACCTCTCCATACTGCATCATGTTCTACCTCACTAACACTTACACTACTATTGGTCCTTGCTTTACTGCTTCCTTCAGCTTTTGTTTTGGGGGCTTTGGGTTTAGTTTCTTTTTGTCAGACCACTTATTTTCTAACCAGTTAAGCAGTCCACCATACTGAATATGAGCATTCTTGATTACATGTTCAGATGCAAGGCCTACGATGTCTTCACACATGCACTCCCAGTGGTAAGAATGGGAATGCTCTCCAAAAAGTCTAACTGTTATCTCAGAAGAGAGTATCTTAGATCTTCATTCATTACCAAAGAGACTGCTTGAAAAAAAGCTTCATAGAGAACGATGTGTAACGAGAAAATTACTCAGCTCTCTTCCAGTGTACTGGCCAGCGAAAGACAAAATGACATCCAGCTGGCAATCTTTTACGCTGCCACTCCCGTATCAACACTTCCAATAAACACTTGTGGAAACCTTTTTGCATACAGCTCTCACGCAAAAAAACACAGCCCTTTACTGCAAGCACATACAAGAACTGTTCTGCACATAAGCATGTCATGTTCCTTTCTTCATATACCGGGAGAAGAATTGGCTTCTGACAAAGTGGATCAGCTTGGTCTCTGTGCGGAACATCGTAATGATGGCTGCTGCAAAGCACACAGCCCCCACGCTGATGTGAACCAGCCTTGCCATCCAACCCTTATCGCAGCAGAACACCACCTACAACAGAGGAAGCAAGCAGTTGCAGGAAAACTTGTCAGCACAAAGTAGATTTACTGTCTCAACAAAAAATAAGGTCCAACACTTCTCTTGACCATGGTACCACTGTCAAGCTGAGCACTGCTTCACCACATGCACTGATCCTACAATAAATCACCTTCAGTAGCCACAACAATTGCTTTCCTAAGAAAATCCTGCCAGAAAAAATGACCATTCAGTAGATACCAGGTAAAGGGAGAAGTTGTTATTCTCTGGCATGCAGAAACATGTTAACTCAGAAAAACTCTATTTCTATCATGCATGTCTGCTATTTTGCAGCAACATATTAGGCTATTTTCTAACAAAACCCTGCTGGACATTTCCCATTCTATAATACACAGCTCTCCTTTCTAAGGCATAACAGATTTCCAACCTGTCACTTTTTTGTACATTGAAATGCTACCACCTCCATAATAATTAGTCTGTGCAATTATCATCCTGTAGTATGAATAGACATGATTAATGTGCTCTTGGCAATTTTGTTTACGTTCTTGCTTTGGTTGTCTTTCCTCTATTGCTTTATTACAGAAATTTTTAATTAGTTTTTTTGCACTACTACAAAATTTCAATTATTATTAAGAACTAAAGACATGCATTTATCTACAGACAGCAGAAATGTGTTAAAATTTTATTTTACTTGTCAGATACGCTTACTACAGGTAGCAGAGACAACTTTGTATCAAAGATAAGATCTCTTAAAAGTATACCTTGCCTCGGCTGTAATGCAAGTCTTCCAGACTACCCTTGTGAGCCTTTTTCCACTACCAATATTTCTCAGCTTGTGGACACAAAAGTCGTCTGACACGAACTTTCACATTGCAAGCAAAATCTGAGAAAGATGCTTACCTCTGAGAAACCAGTGATTACTCCACTTATGATGTAAACAAGTACCAAAAATGGTGAGGGAAGCAAGCCTGTCAAAGGTCTGTAAGTGCTTTCTTTGAAGTAATCATAGATATAGTGGACGCTGTGGGCTATTCGAATAGCCATGTTAAAGCAGTTGGCCAGGATAAAGCCTATACTGCTATACCAGTGGGTTAAGAAATAAGAGATGCATAGGAATGTGAAGGACAAGGCCAGCATGACAAAATTGTACCTGTAAGGAAAAAGAAACCACAATGTGTACAGCTACAGTATTCATTTATTAACTTTACCTCTGTAGAAATACCACTATTTTCTAAAATGAGAAAAATTCCCTTACCATCTTCTAATGAACGAAGAAACTTGAGAACAGAGATGTTAATAAAACACACTGAAAGAACGTAAAATTACAAAATCATACATTAAACTAACCAACAACTACATTAACTGAAGGAAATGCTATTTCATTTATGAGCCATATACTCATTTCAGAAAGTCAAATTTAGCTCCATTTACTAGTAATATGAAAAAACTTGTGGATTTTTTGCTATTGTGTTTTAGATACGTGTTTAAAAAAAATAATGCTCAACAACAAGATGACACTTTATTTAGTTTCTGCTCCACAGAGTGGCTTTGAAAACATGTTAACACTTCAAAGAAGTCATGAAAGCAGCCCTTGCTAAGTCTGAAACATACTACTTCAGAGTATGGAAAGCAGACCTCATTGAAATTCATTTAGAAGGGCCTTGTAAGGGACAGCGGCTACATAAGCAAAAAATAACCAAAACAAAACCCTGATGGTAGCACCAGGAAAGCAACCAGGATGAGCACAGAGAAATAATGCAGGCTGGAAGAGATCTCAGGAATCAAGCTCGTCCAACCTCCTGTTTAAAGTAGATAAATCACTGAGGTCAGACCCACAGTTTAGATCATTAATAAGCGTACTTGGTATACAGTAACTATACCTGAAAAATTCTAACAGTTGCAAAATTTTAATGAGGTTTAGTCTGTCTTAAACAACAACTTCAAGTGCATATGTACAGAAAGTGAGACTTCACATGTAAATTACTTTGTCTAGTGATGTTCCAAAAGCTAATTTAACCATCTTTTTATTTCTTAATTTCTGACCTTTTTACCCAGACATTTAAACATTTGCTAAAGCTTCTACATCTAAATCTACACACAGCTAAATAAGAAGTTGGTTTTCAGTGGGGAAAGATATTTTTACGCTAATTTCAAATGCATCTACCTCTTTATAAGCTCATTACAAGTAAATTTTTAAGATCAACATTTATCAACAAATACAAGTTTATAAAAACCAAAAGTAGGCTATGTTTGCTGGTCCATCTGCTGCACCTGGTTCTGGAGACAAGGAACATAGTTCTTAAAGTGACTGCAGAAAGAAATTTGCTCTTTGGAAAAAAAGCATTTCCAAGCACATACCCATGAAGAACAATTTTTCTGTTTACATACTGCACTCAGGAGAACCATACACAGATTCATTACAGGAATATTCTGGGGACACTGCTTCTTACCTGTCTACCTCTTCTTTGCACATCAAAGCAAATGTAAAACATTCTGTTACTCCATTGATAGCAAGAAATAGGACATATAAGGAGTAACATCGGAGGAGATCTGGACCTAAAAAAACACATTAGAATGGTAACTAGCTTATTATTTCTTTTATATAACTGCATTGTTTTTACAGTGACTGATACCAAGAGATAAAAATTATATTTCCATTATTGGTGATAATGTTACAAGTTCATTTGAACAAGTTTTCTGTGTAGATATCTTGAACAGAACACAAATAAACAAGGCAAAATAAAATCAAAAATAAAACCCAAACCAAATAGCAGTAGTTATAGTAACAGGAAAAAGTACCAATCCAAAAAAAGTATTTTGTTAAAAGGGATTGCCTAATTAAAAAAGAGGGTTTATCATAAAACAAATCTTCTATTGTACAGAAATTTGTGGGAATTAATCCAACAGTTATTATGAGGTACTAAAAACAATAAAATGCATACTTTAAACATAACAGTAATAAAACCAGAAAAGCTGTTCAACAGATTCAAAATTGTGCTAGATAAATTATATTAATATGAGTAAGAGATAATTTCTACAGAACTTCAACATTCTCTCTTCAGACCTTAATCTTTTTCTTGTTTACGAATTCTAAGGCAGTTCTAAAGAACAAATGCCCAGTGAGCAGTAAATACACTGCAAACACAGGGCCGAGCTTAACACTTAAAAGTAGAAGCATCCATGAGGTCAGCGTATAATAATTTGTCTTAATGCTGAATAAGGTAATCACAATTTATTTTAATACCCAATAAGCAATATTCCAAGCTAATGATTCGAAAGTGCAAAACTTTGACAGGTGCAACTGTCTACATACAACCTATTGCCACATGCTTTCATCTTCCTTGTAACTTTGTATTACAACAGGTGTGAAATGGAAAATACAAGCTACAACTCTCCCACAATTGCACAGGAGTAAAGTTTCCAGACAGAAAGGCACTAAAAAACCTCCTCTGAGGTGCTGCTGGATATTCACCCAAGACAGGTTATCTAGGCAACAAGTCGTTACTCAGGGCTCAGGTACTTTTTATAGGCAAATTATATTTTCTAGCAGGAGCTACTGCAGGTTAACTGACCAACCACTCAAAGAACTCAAGAGAACTCCAGGCTACAACTAGTTTACATTTCCAGAAGGAATTAAATGAAGCTCTATTTTCTCTCTGGAAAATTCAAGGTGACCTACAAACTCCCCGATTGCTTCTGTGGACAGGTTTGTAAAACTTAGCCCTCAGTAAGTACAACTACAGCAATGTACCATTAAATGCTTCAGCACTATAAAGAAGTATTACTGCTTCTGTGCGAGAACTATGGATCCACAGATTCCAGTTCATTGAGTGGGTTTTGCTGTTATTTTAAATAGCTGGAGTTCACTATTTTACATCATGGAGTAGTCAAACAATCCTTTAGAATGTTCTTTTCCAACAACGCGTAAATGCAGGAAGGTAGATCCCAAACCTGGTCACTCCTACTTAGAGCTCCTCCGTACGTTCAGTTCAGAGTGCCTACACATTCGAGATGCTATTACGAAAGCATGACCTCCGGATCCTGCCAAGCTGTCACTGACTTCTACAGGAGCTTTACAGAAAACAAATTCTGCTCATTTATGCAAGAATTCGGAACAGCTGCAGTTTCTCTTCCTAAAGAGCAGCTTCTTTGCTGGCTCTGTAAATCTTTACCTGTTCCAGAACTGAGCATTGAGCCTCCATAAATATCCAGAGCCAGCTGAGAATAGGCATAGCCAAAAACTGTGATGGTGAGGCCAATCAGCAGCACAAGTTTCAGCAGCAATTCTAACACATTCGCAGCCATAGCAACATCATCCTAAAAAAAAAAAAAACCCAAAAACCAAGATTAGTCAATTACATGAATCAGAATCAATTTTCATGAGAAGAACTATTTGAGAGAGAAAAAAAAAATCATCAGCTTGCAGAGCGTAAAAAGGTGTGACACATCCTTTGCTGTTGAACTATTCATACACACAGTTTTAACTTCCAAAAATTTTGTATATTTATCATTCCAATCTCTGTTTTACCCATTACAAATTCTACACAAACACTGGCTGTGAACATGTCTGTTCAAGGAAACATGCAAACAGGACTCACACCCATTTAACAGTTCAAAACCAGCAAAGAACATGTGACCTGCCCAAGACCACAGTTTGAGCCAGTATGAGATTCCTACTGCTGCATGGGACTACAGGATCTGTCACACCAGAACAAGCAAATTGTCAGTTCTACCACCTCATTATGACAAGCATTCTTGCAATTCTTGTAGTGTAATTTCACTGTGTACAGTGCAAACTAATAATAATTTTGCCAGTCCTACATATCAGGGACATAGTACTTAAAATACACACACACCTTTCTCAGCCCAGAGCATAGAATTTAACTGTGTGCTACCATACAAGTAGCAGGATTACTGCAAAAAGTTATCACAGTATCAGACAAAAGCCCAGGATGATCTTCAAAACTGATCAAGAATTTCTTACCTAGAGCACACATTAATATTGCACTGTGGAACAAAGCTCTGGTTTGTTTAACCATTGATATTCTGCATACAATTCAAAAGCACAAGAAAAATACTTTTTTTTTCCTTCCTAAAACTTCACCCTTTGGAAATATGACTGTTTAATACTTAACAGCTACTTATATTTTCAAGTCAGTCAAGCGTTTTCAGACAGCATTTGATAGAAATAGCATGCTTTCACTATTTAAATAATTGCATAATTATATCTCAAAATCCACAGTACACTAGGATTTACATCACACTAGAGCAGATTATGTTAATTTTAGTTATACTCATTGGCATAATACTGCCTTGTGTTATCTTGATTTGTATTTCATTAGCATTTTACCTATTTCCTCTTCAGTCCAGCCTCACTCAACATTTCTGTTCTGCAGCTTTTCAATTTTAACAGCCCTTATACTCAACTTTAAACACACACTTCTGTCAGTCACGCTTCTGTGATGCAACTTTTGCACCTGACATGCTTAAGCCAAACTAAACATACCTGCTTCTGATCCTTCACATTCTTCCCTCTTTCCAATACTTTGGCAAAGAAGACATAAAAACTCTCCTCAATAGGCAAAAAGATAAACCTGGCCACCAGTGAACCAAGATTATTCACGATATCATATACACCTTTAAAAGAAAAGAAAAAACAAACATAGCAGCAACAGGGTTTTTTTTGACACAGTTTAATTACAAGTCTTTAACAGTGACATGAATTCTAATTTAACACTTCCACTGAACAAAGAGAAAAAAGTGGAATTTAGCGCAACATTAAAGTAGCATTCCCTAACAATTTTGACAGTCCCAGCAACCAGAATTCAGAATTACAAGGTTTGCTCATAGGAAGCAAAGCTACAGGAAAAGGACCAACTACAAAAAAATGCCAATCTAGTAACAACACCAAACCACATTTAAAATTCTTACTGCAGAAGAATTTAAAAGATCCTAATGAATATCACTCAACAAGAACAGGAATGTAAGGATTTACTGATACAGGAGAAAGGAAAGGTATCTACTTTTAGTGTGAGGTTGTTCTTTTTACTTTCACTGAAGTGGAAGAGCAATTCTACCTGACATTTTACCAGCATCTGCACCCTCAGCAAGAGGCAGCTCCAAACCTGCTAAGATACCACTGGGAGCACACGAAGTCAGGCACAGGGATAACTGCTTCACATATTCACAGTGAAATAATAAAGAAGGTTCTGGCTTATTTCACAGGACTTGGAACCAATGTTTCTCAATATTTTAGAGTCCAGATATTTCTGTACTCATTTCTTTTTTAAAGACCTTTTAAGTAAGAGGCAGTTCAATTGTCCTGCAGGGGAGGAGGATCAGAAGCAGCCACAGTTACTGGTAGCAAGCACATGTACTCGGTATTTATGGGGGAATGTACTATCACCAGCCATTAAAAGTAATTCAAACTATCCAATAAACTCCTAACAGTGCACCAACAATTAAGAGTCTATTTTCCTTCCCAGACTACAAAGACCCAACATACCGGCAACTCCGTCATCTGAACAGATAGAGCCAAACATTCTGAAACCACACTGAACTTTTACAGAGCATGGTTCAAGATGAAATACTAAAAACGTGATGTTCTTGCCCTAACAGCTAGCACAGATTCAAACGGAAGACAGAAAACAGCAGGAAAACAAAATTACAAGAACTGAAAGCAGACAACTACAACACATCAGATACTAACAAAGATTTTTTTTTAAAAAAAAAAAAAGACATAGTACCACATATCCAATTGGACAGTTTTGATTCATAGGAAAAAAAAAAAAAAAAACAAAATCCAGGACCTTATATTAAATTCTTTTCTATATCAATATCAACCATTCTCTGAAAAGTATCTCGAAGTCACAAAGGCTTTGAAATCTCAGATTTTCAAGTTCTCTTCAAGTACTTTAAGTCATTTTCAGAACCTTCTGAAGAGCAGTGACTATGAAAAATGTCACATTCCACAATACCACCACACTCACCCTGATCTCCAAAATTTAACACGTTCAAAAAAGTCATCACATACCGTTCACCTGTAAGTTTAAAATAAAGAACGTAAGAACAAGTTCATAAATCTTTCCCAATACTTGTTCAGGCACTTTCAACATTTAAGTAGTCAAGTGACAAAGTCAAACAGGACAATGCCTAGTTCATTCAGAGTGGTTACATCTGCTGGCAAGAACCTCTGAAAGTTGCATGCTCACCCTCACCCCAGCTTTCTCAAGTTTTAGTCAGTTCTGTAAAGGGCTAGCCCTGCTCCGTCACAACTACATGTCAAGCCTCACCTTCTGTCAAAATCTGTTTTAAGAAGGATTGCTTGAAGAAACTCCAAGTCAACCGTGCTTCCCTCCAGTTAACAAAGGTCTATAAAAAAAGTACTGAAATGGAATAAACATCATTGAAACTACAGAGGAGAAACAGAAAATGCAAAGGCAGCACAGTATTCTGGGCTAGCTCTAACTGTACCAATGAGGAATACCCACACTGTTGTAGCTATGAACAACTCATCTAAAATATCGCTAAATTCAAGTGCCAATATCACTTCAACCTGGCAAAGGTTTTTTCCCTTGCTGAAAATTACCGTTGTGATAGATAAAGTACTTAAGCTTTCTGCAGAAAAAAACTAATGAAAGCTAAAGACTGGAAAAAAAAACCAAGGTGCTGTTTAGCATACCAATATAACTTTCACCTTCACTGCAGACATGAATTATTCACTGTTCTTCAAACCATCCACACAGAGGCGGTCTATCACTTCAATCTGCAAACCTTTTTCAAAACATCTTCTCACTCTGTGTCTTTTCATTTCTTTCTTGCCTCATTTTCTTTTGAGAAGGCATCAAAAGATATTTGAGTATCTGTACTGTGTTATGTACCACTACGTGTATTTTGTAGAAAAGTCCAAGTACCAAAATCTATGGTTAAATAGCACTCTCTCCTGCCTGAGATCCAGAGATACTTGGTCACTCCCCTGCACATGTTCCAACTCCCGTTGTTTGTGCAAAAGCAAGGCCATAAGCTCACAGAAGTCAAATTTCATGAAGTTTTTCTGACAAGGATTTTAATGATACAAGCCACCAACAGAACTTCTATGTTTTTGGGGTTTTTTTTGATCAGTCACATCTTTTACAGTGCAGAAATATTCTCAAAAATCAGTCAACTCCTCACTCTTAAATAAATTTTCAAAGCTCTTTCAAGAAAACTTTAAAATCAAAAAATGAACTGTGCAACCTACCTCATCTTCCACGAAGCTAGGTAATAGAGCTTTCATTCTTGCAACTGGAAATGACTTCTTTGTTGTTTCAGGAGACCCCAAAAACATCACAAAATAAATTATATAGCACATTAACAGAACGCTGACGTATAAAAGCTGGAGAAATAGGGAAGAAGAAAAACAACCAGTGAAATAAAATAAACTTACAAATACAGAATTATATGCTAGAGTTTCAAATTCAGTGAGAACAAAAGGTTGTAAATAGTCCTTTTTCCTGTCAAATTTTGGACGAGGTAAAGACTTTAACCCCCCCCAGAGCATGCTGTTGTGTGGTTTTGTTTTTTGTTTTTTTTTAATCTGCCAACTTCTATGTTATATTCAGCATTTTCATAATTACTAAAGTCCAATTACAAAGCAAAAAAACAAGTTGACAGAGTAGCTACCATCTACAACTCTTCCATCATCAATCTACTACAGCCATTGGAAAAGCTGAACAGAAACTGAACAAAAACACCCCCGTGTGAGGTGGGCCACATTTTCATTTCTAGGTTAACTGGTTGCACAAGCAACAACCCTGCTTTTCATGTGCCAATGTGTTTTCCTTTGTAGTAATGAAAAAGTTTTAATCTGTGTTTATGTTTGAGAACGTTTAATCTTTGAGTATGTTACTCATGATCATCACCTCCCGATAAGGTGATACAGGCTGATAAAATTACATGTGAATATAATCTTCTACACAGTAGAATACGAAGTCTGACATGAATACTGAAGCCAAGTGGTGAACAGAATCTTCAAGCATTACAATGCATAACTGATTTAAGAGTTAATGCAAAACTCATAGCAGCCTTATTTGCACAATTTGTCTTCACAGACAGAATGACTATGCAGAAATTAAACTGTTTGGGGTCAAAGTGCCAAGTCATTAATGAGTATCAGGAAAACACTAAATACAGGTGCTGAATCTTAAACCTCCCACAAGCATCTCCTCTCACCACCTCGATGTTATTTAGCGGAGTAAGTGTCAAAGGCAACAGCAAATAACATTTCAGATGAAGCAAGAATTTAAAGAGAAAGAGAACACAGGAAACTTACCTGAGCCAAGGAAAAAATGTATAGGCCCCACTGAGGATAAAGGACTACTAAAGTAACTGTTAAAATGCATTTGGACACTACTGAAAGGCTTTCAGCAATTACCTTTTGGAAAGACAAAAGAGAGGTTTATTTTCTGCCAATTTAACCACATGCATAAACTTAAACTACTTTAATTTCACACGCAGAATTTATGTAAGATTTCAAGGCCCGTGTGAATTCATCACAGAGTTTCTTTCCGCTGAGTTGGCCATCTTAGACTGCAATCTCTTTGTAAAGTTTCTATTCTTGCATTTCACAGTTCCTCCACTGCACTTTCCCAAGCCTTGGCATGGGACACAAGAGAGAAAATTTTGCTTGAGACAATCATGTTCTCAACTGTTATAATTCATAATTTCATACCATCAACTGAAATGCAAAATTGTGGAAGCTCTCTCCAATTAAAACTTATGATTAAGTATTTAGTGATCAGTGACAATTGATCACTAAATAAAAAAGAACTTACTGATACAGTGACAATTTCTAAAATCAACTTAATTGCCTTAACAGATACAAATCCATACCTGTAACTATATCATACAGTACTAACCAATACACACAGTTGTGTAGGGGTTTTTTATATGCTTGAATATACAAAGATGTAGTTCAGGAATCTGTTCTATTCAACAGAGAAATAGAATTCCTCCCCCTCCCCATGCACACACCCCACGTACTTTACTAACCTTAAGTCTCACAAACAAATGAGCTTGTGCTAAAACCCAGAATGGTTCTCCCAGGAGCTCGATAATTGCAGAAAGACCAAATGCCACTACACCAGCCTGATAATGAGGAACCACAGAAGGATTTGGTACTTCAAGCAAGTGTAGCCAGATTAAACCCAAGAAAATTGACCAAAAAACACCAAGAGGGACTTTAGAAAGTTAACATAAAAAAAAAAAAATCCATACAAATGTTACTTATGCAGGGAAAAAAAAAAAAAAAAACAAGCATATTAAAATTTCACATACTACCATAATTTTTTAAAAGCTCAACTGAGGAATTAATTTATATTACTACAATACCAAGAATACTGTTTTGTAATGCTTTTAAGGCATTCTTTTGCAAGACACAAAACATTTTTCTGACTTGTTTATTTTCTACTCAAGAATCTAACATAAGGTTGACTATCTGCACTTCTTGTTCCCCAAGACTGAACAATTCTGATCCTGTATCAGCCTGCAGAACATTGTACCATCCATTACTGCTGCACTTTTCAGCCTGTGGTTACCAGGGGTTTAGCAGACAAGCTTTCTCAGACCTTGCTGTAATAATGATGCCACCACTCCAACTGTATGTCTCACTCTTCCAGAAAACACCAGTTCTCCAGTGAGTGACAGCAGAGTGAGCAGAAGAAAATGCATGCCTGCACCTCAGGAACGCCAATTCACAATGCTCTGCTGCAGGTCAGAGCCACCTCGACTTGCGACTCGAGCTAAAAAGCCAAGCCAGGCACAGGAGTGCAGATGTGTTACCTTCTCTTGAGACTGCTTCAGGAACACGAAGCTTCTGGCACAGAGCAGAGTTTTACATCACTGCAGCAGGATGTACCTGACCCTCCCATGACAAGATCCCTAAGGTATCTGGCATCAAGCTCCTAAGATGTATTTCAAAGCCTTCAGGAAAGTTAATCATCATTTTAAGTTACGCTTCTCTATGAGGAAAATTTTAAAAATAAAAATGTGCACAAAGTCACTGTTAGCTCTATCATTTAATGCCCACTTGGAAAGGCCATGAAGTAGCAGAAAATGGATTATAATACAGTGAAAAGAACAGATCTAATACATTTAAAATATTAGTATTAAACTCATCCCTAAAAGGGACAATCTCCCTTCTTTATGCCTGTTTGACAATGACTATGTGTAACCTCCTGTTCCTGATCTAGATCTAATTAGCTATGAGATCTCCACTAGCTGTGCAGTTCCAGGGAAAGTCAGTAGGGTGCCCCGTTAGAAAGCTACTACTTTGTTGTGTGGGGTAGTTTGCCACCATATTAGGCAGGTAAACTTACTTCCAACCCACCTAATAGGGTCTGCACAGCTGCTAGAAGTAGTAAAGAGGTATGTCCAGGAACCACAAGGGAGAAACAAGTCATAAAATTCACTTAGCTGCAATGTGTGATTACACTCTCTAGCAGCAGCTTCATGCAGACTTTAAGCTATCCACTTTCTGCTACAAACAGCACTGCAGTTCAAAGAAGTAGTCCTACTCACTCCCTGTTGAATAATTCCAACTCTTTCTTTCACCCTTTTGCATGTCTCCTACCCAACATGTTGCCATGCCATTAAACTATACCACAGCTCAAGACTTTGAAAAGATATGTTGGGACGGGAAAATAATTTTAAGAATCTTCACATATACACATCAGACAATAAAAAAGCAAGACTGAGCTGGCAGAAGAAGAAAAATAAAGGACATGTCTGGGCAACAAGGTTGTCCTTTAACAGCTATAACATAACTGAAACTCTTGGCTAAGTAATAGAACAAATGGCTACTGATAACACCTTTATCAACGTGCCTTTCCATGTGTTCCAAAAGGCGAGCAAGTCCATAAAGGTTAAAGTAATGCTCAACCAGCTTCCTGCATAATCCTTTCCTGAAAGGTAATGCTACTATATGCTCTATGCTTAAATAATTACCTTAGTAAATAAAAACTTGCTCTCATTTTGTGATCTCTCAAACAAGAATTAGAAACAATCTCTAAAGAAACAAATTTTTAAATGTCTCTTACGTCAGCCACAATAAATTAATTGTTTTGGTCCAGTTTCGCTTTGTACTTCCACTCAAACAAGCTCTACGAAATGCCTCTCTGGCTAGGAAGACAACTGTTGAATACAGCAGAGTCAGCCTAAAGGTGAGAGGAAAAGGAAAGAGGAGAGAAAATTTATTTCCATACATACTACTTCTGAAACCCTTCATGCAGTAGCATCATTGAGTTTTTACACAGGACTGCCTGCCAGACAAATTTAACAGTTCGCACAGAAAACATGGTAGAATAAGATAAAATATGACCATCCCCCACAAATCGAGAGAATTGCATATGCTTGTTAAAAAAATGCTTCAAGCACGCTATAAACTAAAAACACAGTTGTAATATTTATTGTATAGCACAGCAATTGTGTCTACCTTTTCCTCAGCAAGCTGATGGCTTAGCTTGAAAATAGGCCAGAAGCACCTCTGTTTTGGGCCAAAAAAACTCTGAAATACTGAATGACTAGTGTAGAACAATTAGCAGTAAATTAAATAGCGTTATGGAAAGCGTTATCAGCGACAGAGCCTACAGACCCCAAGCCC